AATGAATTTTTGTCAATGACCGTAGAGCAACGCTAAATATACATGCTATACTCAAATCGTTACCAGGTTTCTAATGAAGCTCATTGACCTCCACGGGACAGTTTTCAAATATCTAATGCATCTCTGTGAATACCATCATCGCGAACTTTTCTCGTGGTGTAAAAGTAGTATCAGCCATTCTTCTTCAACTCATGAGTGACACGACGCTCATTATTCTCGTCCTGTTGTTCTAAAACACTTATGTTTTCGCTCGATCTCCTGTTGTTCCAATACACTTTTGTAATTTTGCAGTGGATCATTTTTTTTCAAGGTACTTTGATTAATTTTTTTGCAACTAAGCTTTGCTGTTTTTGAGTCTTCGTCGTAACAGCATAACGTCTTCGAACATAAAGCAACCATTTATGTACATCAAAACTCTTCTTTTAACAGTCCTGGTGTACGCTGATCGAATGCATCATGTGTAGTACAATATTTTCTCGGGAAGAAGTTGCTGCCTGAAGTGGCTTCAAAATTGACGGTACAATCTGAAGCTCGCATCCAGCTCCAGACATGCTTCATCTGAGGTGGGACGATGTCATCCAGATCTTCACTATTTATTGCAATGTACAGACTATCCGTATCTATTTCAATAAATTCATGCTTCACAGGATCACACGGTGGATTAAAAAATTTGTGCACAAGGTTAAGCCTAGCTAATTTAGCAGACTGAAAAATGAAGAAACCAACAATTGTGCTCGATGATCCTCTTCCGCAAATTTTACTTCATAGATCTGATTAGGGAGCTCATTGAATTTTCGAAAGAATCGATCTTTCATCATACTATTGATTGCAAATCCCACAATATACTTGGTTTTGGTCTGGCGTGACCGATCCAATATCTGGTATCCGTAGGCCCTGTTGGTAATCAATTTGCTTGTTGTTGCAACAACTGAAAATGCAGGATTTCGATCACCATCTCTTCTTCGTTTTACAACATTGAACACATGGTTGGAAACGCTTTTGACCTTTGAACTGGATAACCAAATGGATCTTCTGGATTTCCAGTCCTTGTTCGCCGTAAAACTTCGGGAGGGGTGATGGTCGGTCCTCGAGGTAGTCTCTTGCTTGATATTAACATTCGTTGTGGTTTCTTCATCAAGTCATTCTCCATTGTGAAATTCTGCTTCTGTTCTCCAATATCTTCTCTACTGACCTTAGAATTCTTGAAGATTGGAGGCAGTTTATTGAGTTTAGGTTTTCAACACCAAAAATTTGATTGCTCAGTAGTTTTTCTAAGAGCTGAGCCTCTGTCTGTGGTTGTTGGTATGGTAAATTGTTTTTCATGAACAGATTTGTTCCAAACTGTTAATTTTTAACCAATGCATTCCACTGGCATTCCCAAATTTCGACAAGGTTTAACCCTAATTTCTTCAAGTATTTCTTCTGTTCAATGGTTGGCTATCGTTGTTTTTGTCCCTTCTCGAGTTCTGCTGATTGACTTCTTTGTTCTTGACATTCACAAAAGGGGAAGTAACATCCCTTTGCCTCAAAAGCTGTTACAGTGTCCACGGTAGCCGTCAAAAGAACTTCCGAATCTTTTGTGGTGCTTTTCTGTGAACTTAGTCTCGATATTACTTCAGTTTCTGTTCTTTTAGATACGACATAATTATGTACGCAAAGTGACTACTCTGCAACCGTTCAAATGGAATTATTTAGTTTCATTTGATAATTCCCACTTTTTGTAGCGACCAGCCGGCAATTCTCTCGTCATGGAGTATGGCAGTGTAGTCATCACAGTCATGGATGTTCATGGTGCTCGGTCCTATTCTCTCGGAAATCCTGGAAAACTTCCTCGTGTAAGGTCGAACAACCTCCGTCTGTGTAGTCTCCGTTTGCGGAGAGTACAATCTCAGTTAAAGTTAATTGGCTTTATATGGTCAATACGCTGTTATACATGTGTTCCTTCCTTATCATCACCTCATCGCTCTCTCCGAGGACATAGATAGCGAGTATTTCACGCTTGCTGACTTGTACTATTTCAATGTTCATTTTTTGAACAAGTAATTTGCTTTCTTTTCTTGATTACTACTTGAAGAATTAAAAAATGTTAACTAACTATTTGACTTGAAATTTTTTTAGTAAACTTATATTGGAAATGATTAATTTAAATTTAATAATAGTTTTCTTTTAATGATTATTTCCGTCAAAAGTTGCTGGTATAGATGTTACATTTCATCCGGGAAAAATTGAAAAAGGTAAATATTTTCTTTTTACTCTTTTTTGCTTTATAATTTTACTATTGCTGCCAAAAAATTGATTATTGAGATGTTTCTTGTCATTCGATCAAATTATCTATCTATTATTTATTTGGCGTTTCACGTGATACCAGGGTTGGCATGTTATTTAACATTGTTATTTAACATTGAAATTAACTTACAGTGTTATTTATAATTTCTAACAGTGATGTTAGCTATTTCTTAGAAATATGAGTAATTCTTAGAAAAACACAACGCAACTATACTGTATGCTTGTTCCGAAACGATTGTAGCGAATCCCGAACGGATGAAAAAAAAATTTTCAAACCAATTGCAGTTTCACTTGACAAACTACAGAGCGAAAAATCTCACCTGACGTATGGGAAGCTTCGTGCTCAACTCGGCGTTGAGAAAGCCGGAAAGTTGGCGTTTCTGTTCAAGAAACTCAACTCTTGTTGATATGTTAATTTAATTAACAATTTAACAAAAATAACATGTTTTTTTCGATAAATAACAGTTATTTTGTTATTTTTGTTTTTAACTTACATTTTGCCAACCCTGCGTGATACATGTTTAAGAAGTCCCTATGTTGACGTGTTTAAGAAGTCCCTATTTTTGCATGTTTTTGCACGTATTGTTTTTTGCATATTTAACGAAAATGTTTTTGCACGTTTAAGGTATACCGTAGGTTAAAATGCTTAAGAAATTTCATTTGGCTCATGTTTAAGTCTGTTGGTCTGTTACAAGGCCAAAAATTGCAAAATTTGAAATTTTTTTTTATATACATACGTTCTACACATTCCTATATAGTGGGGTGCTGTTAAGTACATTTAGGGGTTGCAAATCTGGCGTTCAAGTATGACTGCTCAAATCCTTATATTGTTCGAGATATGGCGTTTTTATATTTTTTTTTCAAAACACGTGGATATTAAAAAATTAACCGAACTTCAATATCTCAACCATATAGTGGGGTGCTCTCAGGGTACATTCAGAAGTTGCAAATCTGAGCAGAGAGTGGCCGAACATAGAAAGAATTATAAGGATTGGCTTCTTCCACTTCGTGAACTTCTGAAATGAAATATTGCTCAATTGGGAAATCATTGGTCGGGTGTACTCGATGCTCGATGAATTCCCAACCACTCTGATTCCCATAGTCCGCAGCGATATGCGTACTGCACAGAGTGAATCGTTCCTTCAAAACCATAAAAGATATCTCCGTAAGACCATCACTGACGACGTAACAAGCGGCTGGATTCATGTTTCACTTTCAACAATTAAAGCAAGACTCTTCGCGATAAAAATTTGTTGTAGTTATTTTGTTGAGCTTGAACTATTCATAAAATTTTGTGGTCAGTAAATTCTGTGTTCATTTTTGTACAAACGCATGATTTGTTCAAAAAGTGTCCAGCATTCAAGGGGTGAATGACCGGCTCCTGTCAGAGGTGAATGACCGGCTCATGCGACCACCACATGCAATCACGCTATACCACTTGTGGAGCTAAAGATTTTTTGACAATATCACCTTTATGTTTTTACACTCACCATCCAGAGTTACATTAGTACTATTCACATCACAATCAGTTATGATTTCTAAATGTGACCTGAATAAGTTATGTTTGATTGCTTTCTTATTTTTTGTCGGAAAAGATTCTGGAAATGGTATAGTTATGATTCCAAATAGCAAAGCTTACCTTCAAAATTTTTCCTCTTGAAGTATAGGAGCAAGGTTGAGTGTTACTGGCTAAAAATTAACTTGCTTTTTTCTCTCGTAGTTGTATCTTTGACATCCCTTTTTTTTACTGCTTCTACTTACAAGCATCTGTCAGCAGACATTTTTCAGCTAGTTTGCAGCTTAAATATCTGTTTACTTGCTTCATATGTTTTTTACGCTAGCGAGCAGGTAGTGTTTTAGTTGAACCTTCTTTTTTTTCTTACCTAGCTCGCAAATAAAAGTATTCATTAAAAGTGTTCACTTGTGTGACTTTTTGCTATAATCACTATCTGTAGCATTGGAAATTTCATAGCATCTGTTCTCGCCTTTATTTGAGGCTAGTGTTTGTTACGGACCAAGCGTCCTTGGCTGAGTGGTTAGTCCGTTAGTCTTAATTTCTAGGTCGCAGTAGGTCATAGGTTCGAGTCCAAGATATCGCCGAATTTTTTGCTAATTCGAAGTTTTTTTTTTGTTTTTGGTCGTGTTCTCGCTAGTGTTAAAAAAAAGGCTTCACCTCGGTGTTAAAAAGCTCTCGTTTTTTGTTTGAAACGATAACTGGGGTAGAAAATTTTGCCATTTGCTCATAGACCACTCCAAAGACTTGTTTTGTCCATTTTATCTTTGGTTTAATCAAATGCAAGCAGTAAAAGAGTGAGCTGATCAGGGGGGGGGGGGGTGGGTGCTGGGAGACCCCCATTATTTAAAACAGGGAATAGAACATCAATTACCAAACCTTACCAATTCTATTCACTATCTTAATACATAGCTGGGAGACCTGATGTTCTATTCCTCATCTTAAAACATGGGGGGTCTCCCACCCCTCCCCTCTCATCAGCTCACTCTTTTACTACTAATGCGTTTAAATGTGTTTAGTTTATACAGAACAGTAGTTTGAACCATTTTCATAAAAACTGATGTGATTTATCATATTAATGGGCGCTGCTGGCTTTATTACATCAAAATCTACATGTTTTGCTGCTCAATTAGGCAAAAACTTGTTCAAATCGGGGAGTTAAACTAGATAATGTTTTTTTAAGACACCAGATGTAAACTAGATGGTAACCAACAAACTGTACCTAGACTACGGATCTGAAAATGAATTTTCAGTCCGTGGCTACCGACTCAATTACGTGAAGGCAACATTGCTCGTGATCTTCAGCGTGCTCACTGCCGGTTTAGCAATTTTGCCATTGTACTGGAAACCAAATTGGTTGATTTATGCTCTCTTTTCCGAGGCTTCAACTTTAAACAACGCCTCGGATGTTTTGATAGAGGATTTTTACCAGCGATCGTTCAGAAGACGTCTATTCAAGATGGAAATTAAATCTGACTTGACTTGGAATATGTTACAACAGCGACTGTGGCGACAAATCAATAATGATCAAATGGCAGAGAAGGTACCAACTAAAGATAAAAGCCAGCCAAAAATCGATCTTGAATCCATAAATTTTGACCTCGACGAAACAGGGTACCATCTTCATCTTCTCTGCTTCACGTTTCAAAAGTCAATCTATATCATATCAAGCGACGGAGGCAGTGTCGCTAAGTTACCATCACTGTCAGCTGGTATGACCGCATCAGAAGCTGTGCAGAATATTAAACATGGTCTTTCCAGCCAAGAAGTTGAGAGTCGAAAAGGCGTTTTTGGACCAAATGAACTAGACATTAACCCGAAATCGATTGCTCAGTTGATGGTTCAAGAGGTGTTGCACCCGTTTTACCTCTTTCAGCTGTTCAGCGTGACCGTTTGGTTTATCGATGAGTACATTTATTACTCGATTTGCATCATAGTCTTAAGTGTTTTCTCGATCGCCTGGGCGCTTTACATGACCTACTCGGAGCAAAAGAAAGTAATATCAATGACTAAAGGGGATTTTGTTATTGAAGTACTGCGAGACAGTGTAGTTGAGAACATATGGCAAAAAGATTTGGTTCCAGGGGATATCGTTATAATTCCTCAAAGAGGTTGCTCGATGAACTTTGACGCGCTTTTACTGACCGGCTCGTGCATTGTGAATGAAAGCATGTTAACAGGTGAAAGCGTGCCAGTGACCAAAGCGCCTTTCAGTCAAGCAAGTGGGAACCAAGCTGTGTACTCTGAAAAAAGCCACGCAAAACATACTTTGTTTTCGGGAACATCAGTTTTGCAGTCACGAACTTATTCGAATGATCACTGCTATGCCATCGTGATCAACACTGGATTTCACACTATGAAAGGCGAGCTTATAAGATCAATTCTGTACCCAAAACCGATGTCGTTTCGCTTGTTTTTTGATGCCATAATGTTTGTCGTGTTTTTGTTGTGTATAGCCATGATTGGATTTGTATATACGCTTGTCTTAATGATCAATCGGCAGAAAGACCTGAAAGAGATCATTTTGAAGCCACTTGATATAATCACAATTGCTGTACCACCAGCATTGCCTGCGGCTTTAAACATTGGTATGGTTTTCGCCCAGCGCCGTTTGCGAAATAGAAAAATATTCTGTGTCAGCCCGCAGAGAATAGACGTTGCCGGATCCATTGACGTTGTCTGTTTCGACAAAACGGGAACCCTCACTGAAGATAACATGACATTTAAGCACCTGGTTACGATAGACGAAGTCACCAATGTTTTGGCCCGAGAGACATCTGATGTGAAAACATTAGAACCAGACTCGAAACTGGCCATTGGGATCAGTACTTGCCACACGCTCACTAAAATAGAAGGGAAAATTGTTGGTGATCCCATGGACTTGAAGCTGTTCACTGCATCTGGCTGGACGTATTCAGAACAAGGAACAGGAAGTGGATTTGACTTTGACTCATTAGCGCCTTCCGTTGTCTCATCGCCCCGGACAGAGACCGGTTTGGTAGTTGAAGTTGGATTAGTCCGCCAATTTCCGTTTTCCTCCGAAATGCAACGTATGGCCGTTATAGTGAGAGATAGTCGCAAAAATCATTACGACTTCTTCGTTAAAGGGTCACCCGAAAAGGTTGCAGCCATGTGTAAGCAGTTTCCTGGTAACTTTTCCCAGTCCTTGGAGTACTATGCAAACAGTGGTTATCGAGTTCTAGCCTTAGCGTACAGACCTCTGGATTCGAAAATGGCCTGGCACAAAGTCCACAAAGCCACCCTGAATGATCTAGAACAAAACCTCGAGTTTCTTGGGCTACTGGTGTTTTGCAACCAGCTTAAGAGAGCGTCGGCTCCTGTCATTCATAAGCTACATGCTGCAAACATTCGATCAATTATGGTCACAGGAGATAACATCGCAACGGCTGTGGCTGTGGCACGAAACTGTTCGCTCGTTCGCAAAAACAAGCAAATGCGACAATTCTGCACTAGAGATGACGTGTTCAACTTTGCACACAAAGCCTCGTCGCCTTCAAACAGTGCCTTTGCTCTTAGTGGCCATGCATTTTCCGCCCTGATGGAGATTACTGATACTGCAGTTCTAAATAGATTTCTTGAAAGAACCTCGGTCTATGCGAGAATGAAGCCTGAACAGAAATCGGAACTAGTTGAGAAGCTTCAGAATGCAGGTTTTTATGTGGGAATGGTAGGTGATGGTGCGAACGATTGTGGTGCTTTAAAAATGGCCCATGTCGGAATTTCTTTATCGGAGTTAGAAGCTTCAGCTGCATCGCCTTTCACAAGCGCAATTCCTGATGTATCATGTGTGGATAAACTGATCCGTGAAGGACGCGCCTCTTTAGTAAACTCATTTGCGACATTCAAGTTTATGGGTCTGTACAGTATGATTCAGTTTTCGTCTGTAGTTATACTATACTGGTACAATACAACTCTGGGAGACTTCCAGTTTCTGTACATTGACATGGGAATTATTACGGCACTGATGTTGAGCATGGGACGAACGGAGGCTAGTGGAAAGATATCCGAGTTCAAGCCTCCTGTCAGGTTGTTCAACGGAGTTGTATTCATATCTTTAATTGCAGCGATCATTGCTCAATTTGCAGCCCAGTGCTTTTCCTTGTTTGCGCTCATGAAATTCAGTTGGTATACACCGGTTGACCCTGAGGTTGATGTTGACGTCAGAGACTCAGTTCAAGGCCAAGAGAACACAGCAATTTGCTACAGCTCCATGTTACTGTATATTGTATGTGCTGTCGGATTCTCACCAGGTCCCCCACATCGGAAACATTTGATCACAAACTACCCCTATGTTGCCGTGATTATAATTCTGGTCTTAGGCCAAATGGTCATAATGTTTCACCCTGAGTCGTGGACGAGTTTCCTTGACTACAGTGAGTTAGTTTACATAGATTCAGTATCTTTTAAGCTGATAATCATCATCATATCGTTGCTGTGTCTGGCTTTACTAGTTGTTCTGGACTTTTATCTGCTAGCAAATAAACATCAATTACCGTCACCCGGAGATATCCGAGATTCGGTTGCTGAACTCTGTTCTCGGAAGAGTCCAGTTGGCAAAACTGGATCCAAGTTTGACGTATCATCAGCAAGCAATTGTAGTCCGAAGTCTCAGGCCAAGTATTCTTCGAACAGCTTACCTGATTACGCAGTTTTGGCCGAAGAAAAATTTGACGGCGATCTGTCAAACATGTCTGGAGTCTTGGTAATTTCATCGCTCTGACAAGAAGCTGTTGTCGTGCTAAATACGTGTTTGAAATGCAATTCCTACAAGAAGATAGCAATTGTTTTACTCTAAGTTCCTAATTTTTTTATAATTAATCTCTTCTTAATCAATTGGGAATTGCGTTCTCATTTTTATTATCTATTGAACCACTATATTCAAGATGTTTAAAACTGTAATGTAAACGAAAAGCGAAACCATAACAAATGATATTTTGCTTGAAGTTCTGAGAAACTTAAACCAAATTTTGCCTCTTCGCTTTTTTTCTGGATTGATATGAAAGATGAGCCACAAATTAGATATTGTCAGACAGAAGTGAATGAAATTTGTATATTAAAAAAACGAGGTTCACTATTTAAGCTTTCGGAAATATTATTACCTTTCTTTGGAGCAGAAATTTAAACATCATTTGTTTGGGTTTTCAACGCAGTGGAAATTAACGGACTTTGTTTTTGCTAAATCCCCTACGCCTGCTGCATTCACAATATCTTATGAATCATGTATGAGTTGAATGCGTCTCTAAATATCCCTAAATTGACCGCTTGAATAATCTAAACAATGAGTCCAGCGAAATATAAATACTCTTAATATGAACTTAAAAGTCTAACGCTGATTTTATACCTGAAATATACTTTGTACCAAAACGGCTCATGCGCGGGAACAATAAACACACAGAGCCAAGAACTATGAGTGGTGAAATATCCTTTTACGTTTCTATCGCGAGATTTTTGTTCAATTTGAAAGTGTAAATTATGTTATTTCCTCGCACTAATGATTAAGTTCTTAACTTTTTCTAAGGCTAAAAGCTGTATCATATTTTCACTACGCAACTAATTCACCATGTCTACATTTTGTTTTTGAGAATAAAATCCACAGTTTTGCTAGTCTGATGGTCGTACCCTTTAACAATACATTTCGGTGTAAGAATTGGGCGCTGCAAATTTATTCGAACTTTTGACTTCTCTGAATTTAAAAATTGAATCAGAATAGACGGTTTCAATAAAAACGCACAATATGGGGTGCTCTCAGTAGTTGGCGATCTTGTCTTCAATATTGAATGTTCAAATCATCTTGTTTTAAAGATATGCCATTTTTTTTTTAATTATTCAAAAATTTTCAGAACACAGATCTAAAAAAAACTTCCCAAAATATGAAATTCTCATTATTGTTGGGTTGGTCAGTGTGCACCCAGGGTTTACAATTTTGGCCTCTAAATCTGACTGCTCAAAATCTATTAACATCGGAGATATGACATATTTACGATTTTTCGAAATTTTTTCCAAACTGGTTGACAAAAATTAATGTTCAAATTTGCAACTCTATGGTGAGATGATGTCAAGGTTGTCCCAGGATATGCAGACGTGGGCTTCAATTGAGACTGGTCATTTAGTTTCATTTTCTGACCTGCCTTTTTATGATTTTTTTTTTCAAAAAGTAAGATATGAAAAAGTTAACAAAATTTGAAATGCCAACCCTTTGTGGTCATATTTGCAACTCTTGTGGCAATGTCAAGGTTATCCCACGGGTTGGAGTTTGGTTTCCATTTGTACAGCTCGAAAAGGTTTAATGTCCGAGAAATGACAATTTGTACCAATTTTAAAATTTGCGGTAAACCAAACAATATGTAAGAACTTATGTAAGAACTAAAGAAATCTTTACACCTGCTCTAAGTAATCGGGAACTAGACTTTTTCCCCGTAAACAACTTTTACAAAGTTGCATTTTATTTTTTTGCTGGATCTTATTAACCTACAGGTTCCTTCGCACTTAGCATACAGGTAGAGACGTTACACCCTATGGCTACGGGTGTGAATCCCGACCGGACCTTGGTTTTTCAGCATGTATGCAAAATTTTGATAAAAATAGATTTGTCCCCTGACGTTCGTTCATTTGCTCAAGTTTTGTTGGCTTGCTGACCTATCACGGATTTTCTTGTCCTCTAAACCAGGGTGATCACTTGGTCACTTTTTAAGTGACTAATCACTTTTGTCACTTTTTGTCGAAAGTCCCTCAAAGTCACTTTTTTGTGTTTTTTTAAACATTTTTAAAGTTTTTTTAAAAATTTTTTTTCAACATTTTAAAAGTTTTTTAACATTTTAATATTGCATTCATGAGTAATCCAATAAAATTTGTTCAAAAAATCCACTTTTTAATGAGGCAACTAAGGATGCTATAGCTATTTTACGAATAAAAAGAACAGGTCACTTTTTTTCTCGGCCGAAGTGGTCACCCTGCTCTAAGCAAGTATTATGGTGGTTCAAAATGTTGTTAATTGTAGTTTCAAGTGGGACTTGAAACTTTTTTTGTAAAATCATTTTTTTTGTTGGCTGAACTGAAGTATACCCAAAGATTGTCGGCTTTGGGTCCGCTTCGTTGGTTTGTTCCAATGCTAATTTGAAATATACATTTTTCTTTGTTCCAAAGAAAAATGTCTTGCTTGGATTGTTTGCCTAGAATTCCTGTTTGATGAAAACAGGTATTATGAAAGTGTTTGTGATTGGGTTTTTTTTTTCAATTTTTTTAAGGCGCTATGAATTTTAGTTCTTCTCAAACTATTATATCAATTTTCAAAAACGAGTCTTAATGGAAAAACCCATCTACTCATCTGCGTGCCAGCATACTCCCCTAGTATCTTCTTTTCACCCCTGTCTACAGCCTTCGAAAAACGAATATTTAACCTATTTTTTTAATGTGTTTTTTTCTCAAAAACTACGATCCCAAATCTGAGATTTTGGTTCCAAGGAATAGAATGGATTTGAAAAGCTTGCCTACGTCGGTAAGCGGCTGCTCCCAAGTTTTCTTTGGATAGTCCTTAGAATAGTCAATTTTTTTTTTATATTTTCGACCGTTTTTTGAAAGTGACTTTTCTCTAAAACTAGCCTACCAACTCTGAGACCATGAGCACAATGGAGAAAGCAGGTAGTGGGCAGCTCTCCTGCCTTAACGTCACTCATTTTTTTTTTAAAGTTATCGTTCTCAGAAATATCAGTTTTATTTTTTTTTAAATTCAAACGACGGATTGGTGCAAGCTCCTTTGCATATGCGACTACGCCCAATATTTTTTGACTCAAAAATTTATGGCCCTGGAACAGTCAAAGTTTTGACCGTTTTTTGAAACTTGAGTTTTCTCGAGAACTACCCTTCCAAGTTTTAAGTTAATTTTCATTTGGTCAACTCTTATTAAACCCTATTTCGGGAATCTGATGGTAGTCCATGAAGGACCCTGAGTCATTATAACCATCAGTAGATCAACTCTTACGGGTTTGCCAAGCCCCTTTTTGGGATAAATACATCCCTGCCTGAAGAACATCCCTCAGGAATTTTCGTTTTAACCGTTTGCGTGAATCTCTGGCATTAGCGGATACGCCTTAATTTTTCTTCACGAAAAGCTATGGCACTCGGAAATGTCAAGTTTTGATTTGCTGACCGTTGAAAGCAGACCTTCATAATTTTGTTGAACGCCTACCTTCATAATTGGCTAGAAAAAATAATGGCCTTCGAACAAGTCAAAATTTTGAAACTTTTTGTGACCGTTCTTTGGAAACTTTTTGACAACTTTTCGAAAATTGACTTGAAAACTACTGTGCCAATTCTCAGGTTAAGTGTTAAATCGTGAAACCCGATTTTGGGAATCTTCCCTACTTTACGAAAAGCAAGTTTTTGAACTTAAAACCGTTTTGTAGAAACTTTTTCAACTTTCTTGAAGAAAACCTTGCCAAATCTGAGTTCACTCGAAAGACGCAGCTAAGAGAATATCCCCTGCAGAAGCGGTCACTCTTAATATTTTTGTGAGAGAAATGTTGTGTCCTTGGGAAAATTTCATTATCTAAAAAATGTTCGCTCTTTTCACTTATTTTAGCAGAGAAACAAGTAAGGTTTTGGGCAAAGTCCAAATTTTGAAATTACAACTTTCGTCCCACATCAGTATAACAAATTCAATAAATGACAAACACTTGCCTAAGTTGTAGTTCGGCCCCTAGTTCTGTTCTATCGTGACATACGAAAATTTTGGATAACTTAGCTTGCTTAAACATTTTCATTTTTTGTTTTGTTTGTATCGCATGTGGCAAAAAGCGCAAAAAAAATAACTTAAAAATTGACTGTTTAAGTTGTTCAATTAATGAAATAGAAAACCCTGTTGGATGGCTCCTGTCTGTTTTTACGGTTGCGTCAAAGATTGTGTATAAATTTTTTAAGAATATCTCTTAACGTGTAACAATCTGTTTGAAGCGCCGTAGCTGTGAGTCATGTGCTAGTCTTCGAAAATTAGAGTTTTGGATTGAATTATCTGGAAGGCACTTAAATCTGAAACTCTGAACGCGTTTTTCTCAAATTGAGTTAGTTGATTTAAGACCCAAAGTAGTGAAAATTTAATATTTCGCCGAGTTTCACTTGATTTTTTGTTGCAATTTGTTGGAAAATTCAGACCCCGTCTTTTCCTAAAATAAGACTTGCTCTATTTGTTTTTTTTATCGTAAATTTCCAGAAACTAGGAACTTTTTGAAGTATCGATATGAAAAACAGCGTCAGTATCTTTTATTTTCGTGTGTTTTATACTTCGGCTGGTTTATCTACACTATCATTTAAGCCAGTCAGATAAACTTAGTGAAGCGACTGAATTATGACCTTTGAGTTCGATTTTCAAACAGGAATCTATTTTCCGGAGACGTTTTTCCGACCATTGAAAATTGGGGAAATTTTGTTATCGGGTGTGTTTTAATTCAAATAGGTCGAGTGATATACCAATTTCAAGCCTTTTTAGTCACGATTCGAATGACATCAATTTTTTTTGTAAAAAAGTTCTTGAGAAAAACTGGTTTAAAATTTATTTTTTAGTTCAACTTCGAGCGAGTAAAGCGATCGAGTAACGATCGTTATATGAAAATTTACTTTTATTTGGACTTTAAGGCGAGAAAAACTTAGTTTTACTATAGAGGAAAGGTTTTGGATTATCATTTATTGTGTACTTGGCAGTAAAGGTTTTCCAGAAATATATATTTTTTGTTTGTCTTTTTTTTGAAGGCAAATGTTGTCTATTGTCTAGTTTACTAAGTTCTATGTGTTTATATAGTTCTCAAATAATACCACACACTTAAACCGAAACTTATTTGATGAAAGAGACAAAAAAATAGAATATTCCGAGTGCGTGGTATGATTTGAGAACTATGTAAACGCGTACAAATTTAGTAAACTAGACACAATAGACAATATTTGCCTTAAAAAAAGAAGCAAACAAGAAATATCAAAACAAAGATAGTCGGTTGCTGTGGAAGTAGCACAGAATGTTCCGACCATATTCTCAAAAAAATACGTGTGCTACTTCAACAGCAACCGGCATCTTTGTTTTGATATACCATTTTCACGGGGTTAATGATTTTTTGTTTTCGATATTTGTTTTTGATATATCACTTTTCTCGGCAGTAAGAGTTTTATTGATTGTGTCCAGGATGGAAAATATTTGCAAATAGCTGGATGTTTTTATAATTTGGCATATCTCTTGTTTCAATTTTTTTGAATGCATCAAATTATAATTTTTTGTTCTGACGTGTAGTGGGAAGAGATGTATATTTAGGTCCTTTTCAACCAAAAAAAGTAGTTTGACTTTTGATATCTTTTCAGTTTCAATATAAGCTCAGTTGATAAACCAAAGGCTCCTTACCCTCTCCAAGAATGAATTCACAGAAAAGGTCCATGACTTAAACTTTTAAAAGTGGTTTTTAGCGTAGTTTTACCAGCGAATTGATACTAATCTAATGATTCAGTTTTCCCAAATTTGGTTAGTTTTATATCAGTTGTCATTGATATAAGTTTTTTGTAATTCAAAGGACTCAAAGGTAATATGTTTGTCTCTTTGAAACTCGAAATTTGTCTCTTATGTTGACCAATAGTTTTTGAATGATTGGATTTCTTGGCTTATAATTAATTCAAATTTTTTAGCATTGCCCGCTAGAGGTCCTAGATTTGAATCTGATTGATGTTTTTCAAAGTTTTTCGTTACAACAACTTTTTTTTCGGCTCAACGGGAGTTTAACCAAGTTTTAAATGTTGCTGTTTAGACGCCGGCATTTCTTTGCTGGGCAGGTTTTTCTCACATTGAACATCATTCGAGACACTTTTTTGAAAGTTTTGCTTTTTTTTTTTTTGCTTTTTTCAACTTATTGGCGTTCCTTTCTTTTTTGTCTGTTAATTTTCAATGCTTTGGTGTCACAAGTGGTGCGAAGTGTTATTTTTGCAAGTTATCATTATCTTGGAATGGAAGTTAGATTTTAGGGCCTTTTAGGTACCGATCATGCGCAAGCTTTTAAAATTGCGTCATGACGTAATTATCCCAATTTAAATATTTGAATAACTGTTCACCCGGAGTGCAGCCAGTATTTAGACAGCCGCGTATTCATACTCGTCAGTATTTAGACAAATACTGTATGAACCAATCAGAATCGAGAAAAGACATAAATAATCCAAAATAAATAATAGTTTTTTATTAATTTCTTCTTTGTCTCGATTCTGATTAGTTCAAACAGTATTTGTCTAAATACTGACCAGTCTGAATAAGCGGTTGTCTAAATACTGATATGTAACCTGTTCACCCATTCTACATAATTGATTAGGTTTCCTTTCTGTTTACGGGATGCGATTAGGAGCGATGTAATACATCTGACATGCTTCGGCGACCCTAGTAATAACTGGCCAGGGTTGATGTCATAAAAAGTAGATGTAATGCAACACCAAAAAAAAGTTATGAGATAACTGTTAAAGGAAAAAGTTATCAACTTGAGTTGCTTTCAGAGTTAATTGAGTGGACGGGATTAAATAGTGAATATCAATTCGTCTCTCTTGTTTGCGTTGTGCAATTGAATGCTCGGAGTCAACCACTACTTGATCTATTGTCTCCAACCCAAACGAGAAGCGAAAAAGCGAAGCAGGTGAATATAACGTTGGTAAACAGTCGACTTAAACACATTCGGTCTCCAAAAAAGTTTTGTTTGTGCAAGTTGAATATACTTTCACAAATGAACATTTCTAAGTTTGGGTGTCGTAAACTAAGCCCCCTCACCCTTGCGCTAAATTCACAAATGCTTAGCCGTTGAATTATTTCTTTATAGTGGTGGTGATTCGTTACCATGTAATATAGGGGGGGGGACATTTATGTATTTCAGTGTGGATGGGTCGTAAAAAAGTTTCATGAAATTTTTTATGACCTCAGTTTTATTTTCGGCCCAACAGATTTCTACTTAAAATTTGTCGCCTTTTTAGTCGCTCGGTGAACGATTTGGAATTTTTTAAGGCTGTTTTTGATGTTCATCCGATACAACCATGAAGTTTTTGTAGCTGTACTTTTTCCAACTTTTTGAAGTTATAATTTCAAGTAATGTTTTCAACTTCATTTTTCCACTGACTATATTGCAGCACAATGTGTAGGGCAAGTTTCAAGCTAGTTCAATACTGGTTGTTGTGTTTTGTCACAGGTTTTCATCAAAATGAGCTTCAGTTTGAAACAAACATTTGAAAATTTTACACAGAGCTAAGTTCTACACCTCTGTGTAAATACTGTGCTAAGTCCAACAATTAGCGATCCGCATCGATTTAACTTGAATCTGCCACCTATTGTAATATATCACCCCCGAAATTCGAATAGTTGTGACATTTAGCCCTTTTCTAAATGAAGGAAGTTTTCCAATACAATTCTAGAATTTAATTAATTGATTGGCTAAAGCAAATTTCGGAAGTGAGCTAGAATCATATGATGATTTGACTTATTTTATTGATACGAAATTTTAGTCTAAATTTCCTTGAACATTGCCATTTTTGAAGGAATCGGAGGTGAAAGCTACCATTGAAGTAGACGAGTACGACAGTGCGAAATAGAAAAGGAAGAAGATGGCTTCGAACGTAGGCGATGAGCAGCTGGAACATCTGATCATGTGTGCTGTGTGTCTGGAACACCTGAAGAGTCCCAAGATGCTCTACTGTGGACACACGTTCTGCAAACTCTGTCTCACCAGCATCGTCGCTAAAAATAAGTATGTAACTGACCTCGGCTAATGGATTCAACTAGCACTATCAAGGAAAACCACCATAAGCTATTAATCTCATTGCAAATGGCGTGATGCTAATAAGTCTAACGCCATTATGCGTTTGTCAAGTTTAAAAAATAAGTTGAAAACAAACCGATGTTGTTTTTTGGTTCTTTGTACCTCTGGAGTTGCTTGATGGTATTTATTGTCATTGTCATCTCTTTTTTAACTGTCTTCTGTCAGTTTTTTGCTGTAATTTAGGATTCTTTGGGTTGCAAAATGCTTAGAGTTTTATCAGTTGTGTGCAACAGGTACCCCTTGCCTATCAATTATTACATGTACCGTTCTCTATTCTGTGTTTGTGGTTTAGGAAGCGTGACACATTGTCGTGTCCCGAATGCAGAACTGAGCACAAAATCCCACCGGCGGGCATCGATGGGTTCCCGGACAATCGGACCGCTGCTGCATTCGTGGAGATCTACCAGAAGAAGCAGGGAAACCAGCACCAGGCAGGCATGCACTGTCTCGAGTGCGGACTAGCCCACAAGACCAAGGTCAGAGAGAGAGATAAAGAGGGTTAAAAGTTAAGATTAAGAGAGGCACTTAAGAAAGGGACTGAGCCCCAAATGTAGACCACATTGTTGCAACCAGTTTACTTTTCCAATACGAAGTTTTCAACTAGGATGGCCGGTTGCTGTGCAAGTAGCACAGAATGTTCCGTGCTAGTTGCTCGGAACATTCCCTTTTTTCTAACTCTTTAGTACAGATGGACTGCATTTTTTTGAAAAACTGCAAGAACGAGAAAACTGTTTTTACACAGGTTCACTAACCGCTAATATGTTGTATATTAGACAGAAAAGAGGTAATTTTTGAAAGTAAGAGCATCTAGTTGAAAAATGCGAAGGAACATTGTTTTCGGGTGTGTTTTAGTTTTTTTTCTTTTTGTTTTCCTCGCAAAATCATTTAGTAATCATTGGAGAGAGTTGAGTGATATATCAGATTAAAGCCCTTTCAGTCGTGATTTGAACGATACAAAAAAAATTTCTCATTGACGAGAGAAACCAGTTTGAAGTTTTTTATTTTTGGTCTAATTTCAAGCTGACAAGGTGAGCGTGCAGGCTTACAAGATTATTTATGCTTAGTTTCAATTTGAGAATCAAAAATTTTAAAATTCAAAAATTTTAAAATTCAAATTCTTCAAAACTGTTTTCCAATGGGCTTATTTTATGATGATGGTCGTATAGATCTTTTTATCACACCACGCAGAAAAAACGACTCCAATACGAAAAAAATTTTTTTGTATCTTTTAAGACTGGTCGGAACATTTTGTGCAACTTGCTCAGTAACCGCCTATCTTTATTATTGTTTAAATTTGGCGAGTTTGTGATATTGAATATTAATAAATAATTATAATGGTCCGCTAATTTTTTTTTGAATTATTTTTGTGTGGATTTCTAAACGAGGAACGAGGCCAGTATATGACTTAAAGATAGTTTATTAGTTGGCAAGCGGTAAATGTGTGGATAGCACAGGCTTTTTCAACCGCTCTTTTCAGGGAAATATATAAAAAGTTCCAAAAAAGTGTTTGTACGTTTACTAACCGTTAATTTTCGAAACTAAGAGCGTATACTCATTTTGATTTTTCGCTTGCTTAAAACAAAATTATACGGACCAGTTTTCTCGACACTGAATAATTTACATACCAGTTTTCTCGGCAGTAAAGTATCTTTCTGGAATCCGAGTTGTGACTGCATGGGATAGTGTATGATTCTGAACTCCATCATTAACAAGCTTGATTTGAGGTTCCGAAAAATGAGTGCCAAATGCACTCTAGACCAGTGAAGCCAAGTTGAGTTTGGCTCCATTTGATTGTTTTGTTGCGTTGATGTAGAAGTGTGAGCACTGCCAAAAGAGTCTGTGCCCGGAGTGTTTGGAATTCCACGCGAAGCAGCTGCTGCAGGAGACGCGTAGACTGGCCGAGATATTCCAAAGGGAGGTGAGCGTGGTGTCCCAACGTTACTTCGAGACCAAGGAGGCTCACATCTCCCAGCTGGCCAAAAGTCGCGAGGACGCCAAGACCGAACTGGCTGAATTCTGCAAGTCCGGGATGCAAGCACTTCAAACAGTTCAAGGTCAGTCTAATCATACACCGTCAAGTGTTGACATAAAATCACTAGAGCCACCGATTGCTATGGAAAAAACATCAGCTTGTTCCGATTTAATGTTCAGTCTTCGAAGTTGAGTGTGTTCGTTTGCTATTTTGGTTACACAGTCGAGCACAATAGTTTGCAGTCTGATTTAGCAGTCCATTGCAATGGAAATTTGCTATTTAGAAGAAAAGTGGAAAGTTTTGAATCTAAACTGCAATGAACGTGTAATCATGTGTAGAAATCCCGTTGGTTTTAATCCCGTAGTTTCCTCAGTTGTTCTTCCATGAATGGTTGTCGAATTTGAATGGTTGTCGAATTTTCAGAGATCGCTTTTTGATTATTTTCCGCCTCTGCATGCAAAGTGCTGTTCCGCTTTTGAACCTGTGTCTGTCATTAATGTTTACTTGTTTAGACAAATGGATGACGGAATTGCAGACTCAGTTTGAGCGGGAGCAAGAGGCATTTGGTGCCACTGAGGAGGAGATGAAGATGAAGATTGCCGAGATCCTGTCGCAACTGGAGGCCGCATCCAAGTGCTCCGTGGAGGCACACACCACTGCAGAAACTGCAGCAATTGTGGCCGTTGGTGAAAGTGGCGCAACCGCTCCTTCAGCAGCCGCGCAGTACCTGGACGTGACTAAGATCATGGACCTGAATCGAGAGTGCAGAAAGCGTATCGCACAGATTGGAGAGATCAAAGGTACGGGTCTGATAGTTACTGTTGCACCTTGTGAAATGCCAAGAATTTCAAAACCTGGGATGTTTTAAGGATTTAGAAATCAAGACTTAAATCAAGACAGTCGACTATTTTTTCTGGTCTCAAAAATTTTTTACGTGTCGTAGTCTTGTGTGGGAGTTTTAATGGACCTCCAAACCCGTGGAATCTCCTAAATATTGACAGGCAATGAAAAGATAAAAACAAACAAGTTTGCCTTCTTTTCAATACTGGCTTTGTTAAAAGCGTTTTATTTCAGCCTCTTCTGCAAAAAGTTTGTATTTTATGTGCATAAAAGACCACAATGAAGTTGGTGTTAATGTGATTTTCTCACTGTATAACTGTCTAGTAGGTCATAATATAAGTTAACGATGATGCATCCATAATCAGGGTGACCAAATGATAATTTTGTTCCGAAGAGAATTTGTTAGCTTTCGTGATAATTTTTATCCTTGTGAAATGAAAGGTAATAATACGCTAGCGGATTTAAAGGTTCATACGTACCAGGAAACCAGAAAAAGTCTTCAATTTGGTACTACTTCAGGACATTCATTTTAGGTCTACCAGTATTTAAATTTTTTAAATCGCTTTCGGAGCTGATACAAATTTTTGAGGAGTGGGAGGGGGAGAGACGTAAGAACATAAGGCCGATGTCAAGCCAACACTTAGTCCAGTTTCCAGTTTATAAATTTGGTTTGAAGCTAGCACGGGATCATAACTACTATTCTGAACACTGTTCTTTACGCTTCACATCGTAATATCACGCGTTGCTGTAGAGCTGCTTTAGCTCAATTCAACCATTGATATGAATTCCTTCAAATATGAATTTGAACAAAAGTTTTTGCTACCACTGGAAAGGTCCTGGATTTTAAGAAAAAATTGTTTCCAGTGTTTCACGAATACTGTGTACTTAATGCGAAAAATTTCTTTTTGCAGCCAATTTTGAGACATTTGGAGTGTTTGAGATATGCTCAAACACTCCAAAAAAGATGTATTTGAGATTTTCTTGGAGTGGTTTTAACTAAAAATGATCTTTTGAAGACACTTATTTAGTTCGTGTGTGTTTTCGTTTTTTTTCAGTAAAAGGTAACTGTTACGCGGTCAGATATTTTTTTGTAGCTCGTTCGGATTTTTTTTTGTTGAAAGGAAGAAAAATGTCGCTCTCCACGTTCTTTTGAAAGTGGATTTTAGTTTTTACACTAGCTTGTGTGCATTATTGTATTAGTACGAATCTTAATTTTTTTTACCTAACTCGCAAATAAAAGTGTTCATTAAAAGTGTTCACTTATTTGGTGGCACTTTTGCTATAATTACGATCTGGAGCGTTGAAAGTTTCATAGCTTCTGTTCTGTTTTATTTGTGGCTTGTATTTGTGATTTCTTAAGCGTCCGTGGCTGAGTGGACTCATAATCTTTCGGTCGAAGATCGAATTCGAGACGAAACCGATTTTTTTTTACTAATTCGAGGCTTATTTCTACTTTTTGAGTAATGAATGTAGTCTTGGTAATTTTTTTTTCGGGAAAGTCCTACAGTGCTCTAATAACTACAGATGTGCATTCATATTGATGCATTTATGAATGCACTTAGGTATATATGCCCTTTTTGAGTTCAATTGAAATTTATCTGCTGAAAGTTACGTAAATAGCACTCTCCAAATACGAACGTGGAAATGGCGCAAAAATATGAACGATTTCTAGTGACGAAAGTGGAATTTAATTTTTAGATTTCCAGCGGAATATAAACTTTATACCTGTTCATCCAGTTTTCTCAAGTTGAGTTGATGTTATCAAAAAAAGCTCCCATCATAAATTGCTCTACAATTTCAAAGAGCTTAATGGGCATCTATTTTTTTTGAAATTCGAAAGTTGAATTTCACTTCATAGAGCTGCCTCTTTTGTCGTGTTCTAGATAGTTTGCGAAGCACAGCTTCGCATCTTTGTAAAGTTTGCCGCTGGAATATAAAAACCTTACCTAAGGGCCCTGATTCATACGGTAAACATTTCAACATGCGATCATTTTTGAACTTGTAAGATGCAAATGCCGGGTTGGACTTCTTCAATGCGATCTCTGTGAGCATAAAGTTTTGTGGGATATGCAGCTTTTAATCTTTTCCAGTTTCCCTTTCCCCTCAAAAAATCATCAAAGAAAATAAGAAAGTTGTTGAAAAGTTGTTCATGCATTATTTTGCATGTAGAAATTGGTGTGAAAATTTGTTTGCCTGTTCACGCTGGCACGTTTTATTGCAGTTAAGATTATAAACAGTCTTTTTAAATAGGCTTCCATAAAATAATTTTTCAAAAAATCCAAAAGAGCTTCAGCTTGTCAAAGCGCGCCCAAATAATTTTTTTGAAATTCAGAAAGACTGGTTGTTTGACACTGATTTCTCCGTTGAAAAAGAATCATTGGAATGTATTTGAGTAGAAATTCTCAAGGAAGTTTTCTAACTTTTCAACTCAAAATCTTCAAAAGACTTCTTGTTGAGAATATCTTTCCGCATTTAAAACATTGATTATTTTGCCGTTGTTTTGCTGATTTGCTGGCGCGTTCGAGTTTGTTGTCCTTTTGTGTTCTGTTTTGTTAGCTTGATGTATTTCCTTATACTCAGCTTCCGAACGGCGTTTTTTTCAGCAGGTTAATGAATCCCATTGATTATTGTTTCATATTAATAGGGTTTCCTGATGAACTAGCATGTCCTTGACTATAGTGTTTTATGTTTTTGTTGTGTTCTTGTCCTTTTATCATCTCCTTATGGCATAATCATAATGGCTAGGGTTCTTCGCATGTTTTTTAAAACTTTTGAACTGTAGACATGTCTTGTGCCCAATCTTCCTCTCAATCTACACAGTCCGCTTTCGGGGATAGTTCGACCACTTCCATATAATTGTTCTGAGGAATTGTTTTTTTCTTCTGCAATCTACAGATGAAGTTGTATCTTTCGAATGCGATAACATTTTCGGTGACGAAAAGATCTTCTAGTTCTTTCAGAGATCTTTGGTTGTCACCATCCGTATCGGCTTGTTTGATGGACGTTGCTTGAATTGTCATTGCACTTATGTCCTAGGCATATATGATATACTTTTTTTGCCTTTGTGTCGACGTGGTCCGAGGGGGTTGTACGGCACCACACTTCTTTGCTGTCGATTCTTTACCTTCCATTATAAAAATTAACTTTTTCTTATTTTCTATATTCTCTGTCAATCTTTTGGGTCTTCGTCTCAGCTGTTAGTTTTTGTTTGGCGAAAAGTTATGGTGGTCTTTGAGTTCATTTCAGACAATTTCGTATTAGTTCGCTTATTTTTTTCTGTTTGGGAAAATCGCCATTTGGAGACTGTCTGCCATTTAGATCATTACACCCAGGTTTTATCGCGTGCTTACACCAAAACATTGAGTGGAATTTTTCATCATATACCGTTTCATAATTACTAAATCTCGACACAGATATAGAATATAAATTAAGTCCAATTTTGCTTAAGGTTCGAAAGGGCTGCCGAAATATTATGGGGTTTGTCCTGATGTGGGCATCCGTGTTGGTTTGGAGAATGTTATCTCTTTCCGGGCTAGTTAAATGCATGCTTCTTATGAATGACACCAGCAACGCTCGTGTTATTATACGAATCCACATTTTACAATATTAGTAGCATATTTTTGTGCTAACTAAATATAAAGTAGAGTTTCACTTTTATAGGTCGTGATGTTTCTGTTTTTTAAGAGTCATGAACGTAGTTATTACTCTTATATAGGTCTTAGTCATGTTTTTTCTTTCAGGAAAAATCTTAGTTTGTTCACGCTCAAGTTTGATCTTATGCGGTTTAGGCTTGATCAAAAAAATTAACATTCCCCTTGTTCAAAATTGAAAGTTATTTTTTCGTTTTTTCTTTATTGCAAATGATGAGTGTTCTGAAGATATGGTGCTACTCGCAAAGCTACCAGCTACTATTGTTTAAATTGGCTTTAAACATTATTTTTGTCCTCTCCCTTCACTGTTTCAAATCTGCATTTGCCTTACCCTGAAATATTGCTAATGACGAAATATCGTCGTTGTTTTTGTTCAATACACCATTTACTGTTTCTTCTTTTTTTAACATAAAGTAGTGTTGTATATGCATTATCTGACGCGATTGGTTTTTATATGTATTTTGATATCAAAAATAGCTGTCGAGGAATTCGAAAACAGGAAATTTGTTGTCACATTGCTTAAATACTCGTCGATAACATCCAATAATCATTTGTTCACCCTGATACTTTTTCATGAAAATTTTAACCTGTTACCCGACTGACCGTGCTGGCAGTTTTTAAAAGTAATGAACGTAGTGAAGACTCTTATATAGGTCTTGCTGATTTTTTTGTTGTTTTTTTTTTCAGGAGAAAGTCTTAAAGTTTGTTCACGCTCAATTTTGATTTTTCGCGGGTTGACTTAAGCGGGTTGATTTTTTTTAAGTTCAGTGCATTTCTATTGTTTAAAGGAAGGCAAACTCCAATATCGCACAGCAAAATTGTAAAGGTTACGAAAAACGTGATCGAATTCTAATTTTGAAAATGGAAATTAATTATCAGATTTCCCAGCGAAATAAATGTTTTACCTATTGATCCAGTTTTCTCAAACTTATCAAATTGAGTTAATTTTAACAAAAAAAAGTGTCGATTAAAAATTGTTCTATAAAATCAAAGAGCTTTAAGGCCATCTAATTTCTTAATTCGAAATTCAAAAGCTGAAGATTTTTGAAAAAACAATTCGGTTTTTTTTTTTCAGTTGCCTTGCGTTCATTACTCTTTTCCAACTGTCAGTTGGCTATGTTTCACACTGTAGAGTATCACAAGAGTCCCAATTTCACAAGCAACAGTATCTCAAAATTGACTGCTTCGGTTCGTGTGGCGAAAATTTGTCGCGAACAATAATTGGTGGCGAAAATTGGTATCATTTCAAAAAGCGCTAATTCGCCGAAGGTCAATTAAACATGATCAATTGGGAAAATATAGAAGTTAGCTGTCATGTTTTAAATACTGTAAATGTCTATTATCCAAATTCACTAACATTATACAACAAGGAAACAGCCGTGTCTTTGTGGGCGTTGGGTTCTATATGAAATGCTTTACGGAATTACGAAGCAATGAAACCTTTTTCTAATTGCGTCGTCAATATAGCAACCTTTTTGTACGCTTAAGTCAACGTCAAAAAATTTAATGTGTACAACCGACAAGGCCCTAATGTATTGCATGTGTTTAATGCTTATTATGTCAGTATTGCTTACCTTGTTCAGACTGTCTAGACTCGTCACTTGTGCTGTTTTAATTTGATTTTAATTTTCTTCGCCAGTCAATTTTTGATACTCGCTCTGATGAGATAGTGTTCTGGGTATTTTTCCGTAATTTTTAATAACTCAAATACTCGAAACGTAAGAGGAAAACGAAATTACAAAAACTGCTTCAGTAAGCCAAAAACACCGTAGTTTAATCAAGGTTCTCACAATTAACAAAATGTAGAAACCTAATGGTAGGTATCGCAGGATTCTAACGGCAGGTATCGCATGGAATGCGTATTAAAACGATTGTCAAAGTTCTTAATTTGTCCAGTGATACCGATTCATGAATGTCCAGTTTATGACGATAAAGGCAATTAAGCTAGAGGCTTTCAATATTTCCAGGTCTCTCAGGAGATACGGCTCCTCGGGTTGTGGCCCGACGAATGGAGTTCCGACACGTCACTCCTTCAACTTTCGAGAAGAATTTCATGGTTCTGGGGAAGGTGTTGGTGACCTCAAATGGGTCAGATAGTCTGCCCAATCTGCCCTCGATTGTGGCAGTGCCATCAGCAGGAGTGACAGGGGACGGCAAGTTGTTCAAGGGAACCAGAGCTGGCAAGTGCTACAATGTCGCACCCTCGTACACTACTCGATACTATTTAAGGTAAGTGCAATCTGCGAACCTTTCATTTCGAGACCCATATAAAAATGTTACGAAAAAGATTAATTCGGATGATACTTTTCATCTAGTTTTTTTAAATTTAAAAATGAATTTTCTGGGCACTCAAAAAGCACCAATACTTTGTCGACCTTTTATTGGCGCCGTCCAAAATGATTTTTTAAGCTCCTCAAAATTGCTTAGAAACCCTAGTTTGACCGATTTTTTGCGCTGCAGTTGATTTTGTTGAAAAAAAAACTAGCCAAAAGAGACGCGCTCCTCACTTAAAATTGGTACTTGTCGCCAAAAGTGCCTTTAGAAAGTTGACCGTGTAGATTGGCCAAAAGTTGATGTCCTAAAATAGTACCAATGGAGTATCCTTTGGGTGGCTAGAGATTCGATTCCCTGAAGGAGAAGGGAGCGGCGTCTGCCCCTTCTCCCTAAATCCGCTTCTTGAATTGCCGCATATTATTTGGGCATTTTTAGTAGCAAAAATTTCAACGGCATGAATGTTTTATGATTACATGAAAACATTTGAATGCAATAATTTGGTTGTTTTTGACTTTTTTTAAGTGTCCATGAACGTAGTGAAAACACTTATATTGGCTCTGATGCTTTTTGCTTTTTTTCGGGATCATTTTAAGGATGCTTTTCAGATGCTTTTTTCAGAAAATTTGATGAAACGCAAATTTGATTTTTCGCGGTTTGACATGGTTTTTTTAAAGTTCAATTCAAATGCATTTGCTAAATTACTCTCTCTAATTGAGAAAGTGGAAATGGCGCGTCAATGATCTGAAATTTTTGAATGAACTGGCTCGAAAAAAGTGAATAGAATATGACCTTTGGATCCATTTTTCCTTAAATAGGCTATTTATATGAAAAAAGTGTAGATGATAGAATATTCTTGAAAATTATAGAGGTTCAACACTTAATTACCCTTTCCAACCTTTTGTTTGTTATGTTTGTACGATTTAAAACTTTTGTCTGGTTAATGTTCAGTATTATTGGTACATTGGGGAGAGCAAGTACATTTCAGCCGCAAAAAAGTGTTTTTTTGTCGTTAGAGAATTTTATCATAGGTTTCAGCACGCGGCGTCATTTATTGCAACACTTGTCCTTTTTATTTTGTTCTTAGCCAATTTTTTTTGTCTACAGCAACTTAGGTTTTTCGGTTTTTGGCCAATTTTCGAATTTTGGCCGCGCTAAAAAAAGTTTCAGATGAAATTTTGGGTTCCCTTTGTGCTACCTTATTTTCTTCGGCCTGTTTTTGGGTTTTTGCGACGCAACTGTACTATACGTAAAATGCTGTGAACTGAAAGATATGCGCTAAATAGATTTTCCAGTTGAACGTGTTCAATTATAAAGTTGATGGTTTTTCTATGTAACTGTTTATGGCTAAATTTATGTCCAGTTTATTGCATCGGCAATTATCAATAATTGGCGTGTTTTAGCGACACAAAGTTTTTTAATTTCACGATGAGAGACTGAATTCTCAATTTGATTATTCTGCAATTTTTAGTTTATTTTAATTTGTTTGTTGATTTAAAACAAGAGTTTTGGGAGAGAAATTTTGAAATTGTTCTATAGCTTTTCTTTGATTGGATTTCTTTACTTCAGTGTTTGTGGTCGGAACATTCGGTGCTTCTTGCACAGCAACCTGCTATCTTTGTTGTTCCGACCATATAAAAATGTGGAGGAACTCTGTATTCAAGTTAGTTGTAGTTTTTTCTTTGTCTTTTTCATGCAACATCAGGTATTACAGATAATCGTCGGAATGGGTTGGGTGTGTATAATATTAAAGCCCTTACAGTCGTGATTCGAACGACAGTTAAAAATTTGATTTTTTTTCTCTTACGAAAAAAACCAGTTTGAAATTTTGATTTCAAGTTTATTTGATTTCAAGCTAATAAGGTTAGCTTGCAGGCTTACAATAGCTTATTTATCTCTAAGTTAACCCGTAAAAACTTAGTTTTACTTGAGCAAAATTAGTTTTTGGAGTTTTCAGCGCCAATTGGAATCAAAAACTTCAAAGTTCAAAAACTTCTGCAAAAGAATTTGGAAATTTTTTTTGATTTTTTTAACGGTTTTCGTTTTTCTAGTCATTTTTCTACAAAAACTAGTTTCCAATTGGCCCATTTTACTATGTCTGTCGAATATGCTTCAGTTCTTTTTTAGTTCAAATCTTCTTAGCAGAAAAAACGAGATAAGTTTGAAATTTTTTTAAATAATGTAGTCGGAACATTCTGTGCTACTTGCACAGCAACCGGCTATCCTTTGTTTGTTGTCAGCTTCGCTTCCCATAGTACGGAATTTCATCACAGTTTTTTACTTCAGTTAGAACACATTTAGGTTTTTCTTTTGGTGTAGGTAGTTGTACTTCAAGAGGTTACTTCGAAGTTTGTTTTGTATAAAATCTGTATAAATTATTTTTTCTTGAACTTTTTTTTATTGTAATCTATCATTTTTTATTCATTTTTATTCATTTCCCTATAACTGTTTTTTTTTAATTTTGAATTTTTGTCGATTGTACTTTGATTTGTCGATTGAAGTTTTGTGGCCACTAAGTTTCAAAAACATGAAACAATTTGTAAATTTTCTGTGTCAGTACATATGTCCTTTTATTTATCGATTCTATGTATACGATTCACTTCTGTGCCTAATCTTCAACCGCAGCGGAAGCTCCTCTTTGCGCCTTTTTATTTGTTTTTGTTTCCGCTCGTTTTTTTTAAATTACGCTAAAACTTAAATTCTTAAAAAATCAGAAAAAAGTTCTGAAAAAGCTACTTGTTGAATTTTTGCTGTTTCATAGTTTTCAGTTTTTGATTATAATTTTTTAAGGTATCGCAAATGTTGCGAAGTGCTGCTTCGAATCTGTGTTAATATACTAATTGATGCTAGGTTCAGAGCGCTAGATGCAATCATTGGACTCTCAATTCTGAAACGAAATAATTTTGGTTTCAAATATAGCTGCAGCAACCTATAGTACTTAATAAGTCTATAATAATAAGTACTTAATAAGTACTATAGTACTTAATAATTCTTAATAATAAATGTATTTTTTGTCAGATTGAACAACAGATCCTCAGAGGGTTACGGAGACCTGTTGTACCCGTGGGGAGTGGCCACCACCAAAGACGACCAGATAATCGTGGTTGACGATGGAAACCAGAGAATCCACTTCTTCGAGGCCGACGGAGTTCCCCTCAGGACTTTCTCGGCCGCAACTGGAGCCACTTTGACAGCCCTGGCTGAGCAGGGAGGAGGTCAGCAACATACCCAGAATACGTCGCCAGGAATCCACGCAGCGGCAGCGCAGCCAGAGGCTAGACCTCAGCCACAAGGTATCAACCAATATAATCAAATAGGTCTGCCCCCTAAAAATGCAGGCTCTTCAGTCATATAAACACCTACCCGCCCCCTCTCAAATGTGCTCGAAATGAAACGTATACCAGATAGTTTATGAACAAAGATTCATAGCAATTGGTTCCCTGATCGAGGTAAGATTTTTTGTTACGGGTGAACGGTACAAAACGAGAGAAGCGATGCTTGTTTGTTGCTTCCGTTTTTCCTTATGACGATTCCGGAAATGGTTTTCTATTCGAATGAGCTAAAAGAGGGAATTGAACTGCTGCTCGAAATGAAGTTTAGTTTTTGCAGTTGAATCGGTTCGTGCAAGTCATTTGAATTTCTCCCTTAAAATTACTCTTTACGCGTTTGAAGTGGACTGATTTTGAAACTATCATAGAAACCCTTGATTTTAAGCTTGTTATTAGTGTTTCTTCAATGTTCATCTTTAGTTCAAGATAAAGATCAGTGCTCAAAATCATTTTCGATTTATACCGTGGGACGAGTTTTAGGTACACTGCCATCTTCAACGAATGGAGCAGAAGCTGCTGCTGCTGCTGCTCCTAAGGCGACAGTCGCAGTTCCCGTTGCTGCTGCTGCTGTCCCACCGATGGCTACACGCTCGGTGGAGCGAGAGGAGTCGTCTTCATCGGCATCTGTGGAGAGGGAGGGAACTTCACATGCGGCCGAGCCCATGTTCCTGGAGCCATCTTTCCGCTACATCAGTGGGGTCTGTGTTGACGACAAGAACAGACTTTGCATTACGGAAGAGGACACGGCGAGACTCTACTTCTACTCTGTCGGAGGTGAAATAGATCCTATGTATTAACTCGTTTTTTCTTCAATGGATGTCGATAGATGATGCACCCAAATTTTTTCAGCGTCTAGCGATAGTTAACTACGAAATATTACGATCAGCAGTTTCATTTCAGTTATTTGGTTGCTAAATGATAATGAATTAACTTAATTTCTGGTAATTTCTTATTGGTCCGAAATTGATAATCTTAAGTTCCCTGCAAATCTAAAAATTTCCAGCGATTGGACAAAATTTTGGGGTGAAAACCCTAAATACACTAAAATAGCTACAACAATGAGCCGTTACTTTGAGAAGTGGGAACGAAGTATGATGGTTTATTTGTTTTTCTTCTAAACCAAAATCACAGCTAAACAATGGGTTCTGTCGAGTGAAATATCTTTCCGCATGCGATTAGCAAGCGTTATCAAATCGAAACGTGTACTTTTTTCGTGGACAATTTGTCTACCAGAATCATTGAATCGTTTTGAATAATTAAATTAATTCAAATTCCCCGTATTTTTCGGCACATCACAATTAACCTAGCCTAAATGCTTGAATGATTTTTAAGGCTTATTTAGTGTCAATGAACGTAGTTCATACTCTTATATATAGCGCGATGATTTTTTTAAGGAAAATTCATATTTGATAATTTATTTGGTTATGTCTATGCGTGGGATGTCAAAACCCTTTTGTTCGAATCCGGCCAGGACCTGTTTCTTCTTGCGACCTGAAAAAAGCGCTCAAAACTTTGTTCGGCCTATCGTTTGTCGGCTGAGTTTTTCTATATAATGGAAAGTACTTTTGATTCAGTCTTCCAATTTGTAAATTTATCAAATTTTTTCGCTTTCCGTTTTTGCTTCCAAAGTTTATACAACTTCAATGCTTTCGGCTCGTATTACCTAATTTTGCGTTGTTTGAAAGTAAAATAGGTTTAAACTTTTTGTGTTTCTGTGGTAGGGCGGAGAGGGAGCTCGAAATTTTTCATGAATATTTTGTTTTCGTTTCTACTGGCGTTCCAAATGGTGTAGCGATAATGTATGTGTATGTGGCGATAATTTTTTTTTTCAGGAAATTCTTAAAAATTGTGTAGGCTCAAAGTTAATTTTTAGCGGTTTGACTTTTGATTTCTTTTTAAGTTCAGTTCATTTCCTATATCAAAAGGAAGGCAAGCAAGTGAGTAAAAGTTCACGGAAAATGCGATCGACTTCTATTTTCGAAAGTGGAATTTATTTTTTAGGTTCAACAGCGAAATAAAGATTGTTTTAATTGATCCAGTTTTTCAGATAGCTTTAAGGGCATCTATTTTTTCTTTGAAATTTGATAGTTTTCAAAAAACAAGTCGTTTTTTTTTGTTCAATTGCGTTCATTCTCTTTTTTCCAACTGCCTGATGGCTATGTTTTATCGCTGGTCATTCGGTTTCTCGACTTGTTTTCCTCAAGTTATGAAATATAATGTAATCTAGAAATTTGCCTCTGTGATAAAGTCCTGTTAGAAGTGATTCGGACCGAACTGAAATCGGTCTTTCAGGAAATTGGTCCGGGCTGTTTGCTTTTCAGACACTATTTTTGGGGGAAATGGAATAGTTTTTGTTATCTTCATTTAAAAAAAAATAGTTTGTTCGAAAGCATATTATAATATGTGGGTAAATCGTTGAAAAAAGTTTTTTCTGAAGAAACTTCAAATTTTCTGAGATGTTAGTTCTTTCACCTTTTTTTGCTGATAATAACTGTGTTAGGGACATTCTGTGCTTTTGAACAGTGACCCGCAGTGCTTTGTTGCGCTTTGCTTAAGAACGTTTACGTCACAAAATTTGCTAATGTTATGCCCTCTTTTTACCTGGTTTGTTCTGAATTGTATTTTTGGTATAGGTTTAACTCAAGCGAGTTGTGATTTTTGAAGACGATTTTAGAAGTCGACTACTGTCATTTAAATTAGGATAATTATCGCGCGATTTAAAACGTAAGCGGCAAACTAAATCCTTCCAATTGAACAGAGGTAAGCAATTTGCTCTTACCTTAATATAATATACGGGTAAACGGGAATAAAGTTTAAAACTTAAATAAAAAAGGTCGATTTTTTCGATCATTCATAAAAATCAACGTTATTTAGCGGAAACCCTTATATCGATGTATTGAAGCTTTTATGGCTAGTTTTTGCCGTTTTTTTGCTCGTGATTGCAAAGTGCATATTTGCCGGTGTAAGTTAGGCCTCGTAATGTTTTTCGTTTTTTTTTCAGAAGTTCAAATTTACTTTTTTGCGGTTTGGTTTATGTTTCTTTAAAATTCGGTTCATTTTCTTTGTTAAAAGGAAGGCAAACTCGTCTATCAAAAGTGTAAAGGTCACAAGAAACGTGATCGATTTCTTGTTTTGAAAGTGGAATTGAGTTTTCAGATTTCCCAGTGGAATAAAAAATTAACTTATAAATCCAGTTTTCCAAATTTGGTTAATTTAATCCAATAAGTGTACATTATAAACTGTTCTAGAAATTCAAAGAGCAATAAAGGCATCTATTTTTAAATTTAAATTCGAAAGTTCATGATATATGTTTCAAAAGTCATTATTTTTTTCCTATTTGTTTTTGCGTTCATTGACTCTTTTTCAACTGGCTGTTGGCTATGTTGGTATCGTAGCAAGTGTTTTATCTGTGGTGTTTTTTTTCACTATTGAAACTTTGTGTTTCATTTGCTTGCCTGGAAATTAGCCGGAGCCCATTTCAGTTAAAGAAATTAACTTGGCTGTCTCGCTCGGATGTGTAACCTATTGTGCAAATTTTGTATATCATTTTAGGTGAGCTGGAGCAGACAGTGGAGCTAGGTGGAAATGTGAAGCCACGTGCAGTGTGTCTGGACACTCAAGACAACATCTACGTATCAGATGTCGAGGTATATCCATGCACGTACACTTGCAATCGAGATCTTCTGGTTATACCGCTTTTGAAATCTCTGCTTTTAACTATCGCATTTTCCTTTGAAATATTCATTGCGTACTAGCATACGTACGGCAGGTTTTTCATGTGTTTTTGAAATCAGAGACACTGTTGGCATGAAATCAATAAGTTGTTCAAATGTAGTTGGTACAGAAAGGTATTTGTTTCAATTGAGTTTGGTACATAAGTTAACCTCAACCAAATTGATCCCATTTTCTATGCCAATGTTTTCTGTTTCCGCAGAACTGTTGTATCTACAAGTACAACTACAACGGAGAACTGTTGCAATCTTTTGGAGGACGAAGTGTCTTTTCCCGTCCCAGTTTCCTCGCTTTGAGCTGCGACGAGGAGAAACTCATCGTGAGCGACACTCTTTCACACAGAGTTTTCATCATGTCTGCTCACACTGGCGAAATCATTACGTCATTCGGAGGAATGAAAGGTCACCATGACCTCATGTTCGAGGGTCCCTGTGGTATCGCGATTGACGGTGCCGGAAACATCAATGTCGTCGACTCCGGCAACAACCGTATCCAGGTAAATATTTTAACAATTTATCAAGAGTCCATGAACGTAGCTCAGACTCTTATATAGGTAGCGATGATTTTTTTTCGTTTTCTTTTTCAGGAAAGTTTGACCAGGCTCAATTTCAATTTCGAAAGTGGAATTTTATTTTCCCAGCGAAATAAAAACTTAATTAAATTCAATTTTTTTTTCAAGTTCAGTTATTTTTCGCAAAGTGTCAATCATAAATTGTTATTGAAATTCAAAGGGATTTAAGGCCATTTTTTTTCTTTGAAATTCAAATCAGTTTTTTGTTTCTTGCGTTCATTGACGCTTTTCGAACTGTATGTTGGCTATGTTTTGTGATGTGAGACCCAAGTTCTGCAATGCTCGTTTTCTGCCAAGATTGTATCAAGCGGGATTAGTTACAAAAGCGAGTGGCCCTTTTTTCTTGTTTTCACCTCTTGAGAATTTTTACACTGTCCGATTGTTACTTAATGGCATGCGGGATACGTAGGCCATGACAAGCATATTCGGTCTTTATACTTAAACTTGTAAAAAACCCCTTGTTACATCATGAAGTTGATCTTTATAGGAGGTGGGGGAATAAAAAAAGCCATGTGATTGAGCAAGCGTAGTGTTATACACGAATCCCATTTTCAGCTCATTTCGCAAAAAAGCTAATATCGGTGGCAATTTGGCTTCATAGGGAGTTTAATAGCATCTCTTTATTAGATGCAAGTGTTTATCAATTTCTCTTTACTAGTAGCAAGTGTTTATCAATTGTAAAGCGACCGTGGCGCAGATGCGAAGACTTGGTAGTGCCAGTCTACATGTTTGCGGTCTACAATATCCAATCTTGATTACGGCGCAAAGTAAAAGTTTTATTTTTTAAGGCTTTGAAACATTTTCAAAGATTTATTTGTGGCTAATTTTTGCCTGTGTCATGCGATAGTACCCCAGATGCGAGGACGTGAAACTCATACTGTACAGGTCCAAGGTTCGACTCCGATACGTAGCAAAAGTTGTGTTTTTCATGGCTCGTTTGAACCTTTTCTTTCCTTATATCACCTCTAGAGATACCCTTCGCTTTTTCTCGCTTATGTTTGCGAATTCCAGCTTCGCCTTGGTGTACTTAAATTACGACTTTAAAAATTGAACATAGACACTAACTAGCTGTTTAAAAGTCAATGAACTTAGTGACGACTCTCATATAGGTCTTGATGATTTTTGTTAGTTGTTTTTCAGGAAAAGTCAGAAAATTTGTTCGCGCTTAAATGTGATTTTTCGCGGTTCGACTTTGAAGTTCAGTTCATTTCCGTTGTTACAAGGAAGGCAAACTCCACTATCGAATAGTAAACGTCACGGTAGTAGTATCTAAGGTCACGGAAAACGTGATCGACTTCTACTTTCGGATGTGAATTTTATGTTTCGGATTTCCAGCGGAATAAAAACTAAACTTTTGATCGTTTTCTCAAATTGGGTTAGTTTCCTTAAAAACGTGCCAATCATACATTGTTTTGGAACTACGAAGAGCTTTAAAGTTTCGGAAGTGAATTAGTACTAATGAACTTAGTGAGTACTCTCATATAGGGCTTGGTATTTTTCATATAGTTTGATGTTTTTTTTATTTTCAAGGAAAAGTCTTAAACTTTGTTTGTTTGCGCTCCAATTTAATTTTTCGCGTTTCATTGTATGATTTTTTTAAGTTCAACTTTTCTTTTGCTGAAAGGAAGGCGAACTCCACTCTCGAACAGCAATAAAGTAAAGGTCACGAAAAACGTGATCAACTTTCAATCTCGAAAATGGCATTTAGTTATCAGATTTCCCAGCGAAATAAAAATGGTTCCTATTGATTCAGTCTTTTCAAATTGCTTTAATTTTTTTCCAAGACGCACCAATCATAAATCGTTCGTGAAATTCGAAGAGATTTGAGGTTATATATGTTTCTTTTCAATTCGAAAGTTGATTTTTTTTGAAAAAACAAGTGTTTCCTTGCGTTCATTACTTTTTTCCAAACGCCAGTTGGCTTTGTTTTTAATTTTCAGATTTCCCAGCGGAATAAAAAGTAACAACCAATCCAGTTTTCTCAAATTGGTTAGCTTCATCAAAAACGTGCCAATCATTTATTGCTCTGAAAATACGAAGAACCTAAAGTTATTATTTTTTCTTTTTATGTTTCCTTGTCTGCATTGACCTTTTCCAACTGCCTGGTGGCCATGTTTGAAAATGAGAGTTTTGGGCACTGATAGACAACCAGTGAATTTGTGACGCAAAAATTGTATTGACTTGACCTAAAAGACGAATTGAGACGCATTTGCAAAACAGAAATAGAATCTTTTTTTTTTATCTTAATTCATTTTCTTTCTCAATGAGAGTTTTGGTTGTCCGATGATTTTTCAGGCAAACAAAAACCTAATACCTGGTAGGCAACTGATATAAACAATTGCGAAAAAATTAGATTTCCTCAATGCTGATCAATTATTGATATTTGTGTTACGGAAAACGTTAAATCTGAATATGATTGTATTCTAGAAATGGCATAAATTATGCATTTTTCTTTATCGATTGTTTGATGGCTGTTCAAGGCCAGTTTTTGTCACTTGCGATGACAGATCAGTTTAAAAAGCATCTGATTTCTCATAGTTGCAGTTTGCAACTCATTATTGTGTTGCGTCTAATTTGATGGTCGTCTTATTTGCTTGATCTTCATGTAGGCCATTGATGAAACTTTTGAAAAATGCGTTTGAGTAAGTACAACCACCTGCACCTAAGATCTCGCCCTTAATAAGTTTTTTTTTGGAAATAGATTCAGTATGAAGCATACATTTTAAACAAGAGCTTAGAATGTTTTACTTCTGAAAAACTAAAAACTTTGATATGGAATATTTATTTTGTACCCTATAATTACCAAAAAAATATATTGACAGTTTTTTTCGCTATTTTTTCGAAGTAATTACTACTAATGCGTTTATTTTCCGGTTTCCCATTGTGGAGGGGTTGGACATCCGGAAAGCGCGTAAGAAAAGGTTCAGATGAGGGCATTCTGAATACCATTCAAGCTATTAAATGCAGGACAACACGTTTGTACATGCGATTCGATCAGAGCAGTCTGTGGATTTAAAGCCATATGTATTGAGGTCTCGTTAAACACAACCGATCCAGCGTTTTTAGGCCTTCCTGCTGGTGTTTTCCCTGGGACTGAAACATGGTTTCTTGATTGTAGCGCATTGTCATTTTCTCTTCCGTTAACATGGCCATACCATCGTAGCCGTGACCGCACATGTAGCTTATCCAGATCAACAAGAACTGTCATTTTAATTGCTGCTTCGTTGAAAACTCTGTTGTTGTAAGTGATTCCAGTAATCCTACGCAGAGCTTTCATATCAGCACTCTTGAGGAGAGCTGTATATTGCCTTGGTCTGCGCCAGATCAGAAGAACTGTTGATCAGAATTGGTTGGAGACAAACTCCGTAGATATGACACCTTGTTATCAAGTCAGAATTTTAATTCAGCAGCAGAGGCGCAATTTGCCTCCATTTTGTCCAGAAAGCTGCTATTCTGACCAATGATGCACGTATTGCGTCACATTCAACGGAAGTCATATCACCCAGATAGCAGAACTCTTTGACAGTGCTCAGGCCTTCTAATTGATTAATCCGTAGAGTAGAATTCTGATTTGAATAATGCTTGGAAGCATTTTTGCATCTTGGACAAACATAAATAGTATTAGGTTTAAGGATTTTCCGAAGGCTACTGCATTTTGATGCACCTATTGATTACAAGAATTGCAGTGTTTTGAATTGGCACCGACTGCCCTCAAACAACAAGCGCTTGGATATTTTCCGTTTTTTTGATGAATTGGCTTTTGGCCTGAAATCAAATGCTTTGTCTTATCCACGTTGTTTTTTAAACTGCGTTTCTGCTAAGTCTTGTTCCAAGTATTTAATTTCTCAATAGACTGGGATTCCCTTTCACCGGATATCACAAAATCATCTGCATATAGCATATCCCATGGAACGAGTTTTTCGTAGCCTCTTGCATTTTAATTATAAATAACAATGGGCTAAGTGCCGATCCTTGATGCACGCCTACTTTAATTTCGTAGAAACTTGGCATCTGTAGTTAATCTACCACCCATAATTCCAAATTGCATGTTATCTATTTTCACAAATGTCTCAGACGTTCCCTTGTACTTTTTGAAAATTTTAAATGCGTGCCTCTCAAGGATCCACATTCTAACGGATCGCCTTTTACTTTGTAAAAGCATCTTTCACTTTCGCTCCCGTCGAAGGGGATTAGACCAGAGTCCCAGACTTGCTGAAGGATTTCTAAAAGTCCAGCAAGTCGACAATCCCTGGCAAATTTTATCATGTCCAAAGTTAGCCGTTGGTCCTGGGTTTTTCTTAGTTTTCATTTTTCTCAGTGCAAATGCCACTTCCTGGATAGTAAATTCCTCCAATGGGCCAGCCACTGGGGGGTATAACTTCCGTTTCAAAGGGAAATGTTCCATTTGAAAGTTTTAAGTAGCTTTGCCACTGCGAGAGAACATCTTGGTCGCAAGTCAGGAGTTTTCCATCACATTCAAGGAATTTTGCTCCAATGACATTCTTTTGATTTTTTAAACGTTTGCTTGGCAAGGCGGAACATTTTAAGCAGTGTTTCTGTTTTTGTCAAATCTTGCCACCATTTCTGGCTGGATTTTTTTTTGGTTCAGCAAATAGCTCCGATATATCACCCGGTCTTCCTCATTTCTATACCTCTGCCACTTTTTGAAAAAAAATCTCTTCTTCTCAACTCCTTTGCCCAAATACTTGTTGCAGCACCATGTTTTTCTTTTTCTCGCTGGTTCTCCGATAGTTTCATCACATACGTTTTCGCTTCTTCTACAATTTTTTCCCAGTTGGCCGGTATTTGATTATTTTCTAACTTCTTTTTTATTGCCTCTTTGAACTTGATTTGGCTTTCTATTTCATTTAATTTCCAAAATTTTGTTCTTGTAACTGGTTTTGACTTATGGCGGTAAATCGGATCTTTAAGATTGAAATCAGACAACAAGTATGTGCTGAGTACCACATTCTTCGCCCCTGATAACTTGCAAGTTTTCGACACAACTTCTCTGCGACGATCTGGGTGGAATTTTCTACACTCTTAAACGTACAGTAATCCTTTTCCTAGCGTTTTTTGAAGAAAGTGTTTATGACAGCTAGATTTTGTGACTGGCAGAAATTGAGAAGTTTCTGACTTTCTGAGCTTTGAGTACCAATTTCGCAATCAAATTCCTGGCGCCACCCTCCAATATGTCCATTCAAATCACCTCACATGTTAATACAAGTTTTAGGCGCATAAAACGTACATTTGTTCTACTGACTTACAGTACGTTTTCATTAAGTCGACCATTGATAGCTATTGCAACACCATTTGTGCCTTCTGAGTGTCCTTGCCAGAAACTCTTAAATTTGTGCTCGCCATCTCCAAAACTTCATTCACAACCATTTCATTTCAAAAAAAAAACCGACACAAGGTCTTGTAGACAGCACACCGATATCTTTATTTTTTTTTTAGAGTTTCGCATATTTCAAGGCATATTTTCTTTTTAGTGTGCCAAGGTTCCACGAGCATAATCGTAACGACTTCTTTTCTAGGGTGGGTTTTTTCGTCTTATGCATGTTAGTGTTAGTCATATTAATAGTTGAAACCGTGAGATTCTTAGCAACCCCTCCCCATTTAAGGGGCGCACAGTACTGAGGGCTATTGCTTGTTTGATTTTCTATGATATGATGGGAGCGGTGCCCATTACGGAGCATTTTCAGACCGAATTCTTTATGGACCGGATGCCTTTCCTGCCTTCCACTCTCCTCCTTTTTACGGGCTTGGAACAGCCAGTTCTATCTTAATAACAAGAGAGGCCAGGCGGAGTTTCTAAGTACTAAATGAGATTTATTTATTTCGCGCTCAAAGTTACTTTCTGAAAAAGCTATATTTTATTCCTCTCAGTATCGACGGTATCGATTTAAGGGAGAAGAGATTGTACGGTTGATCCATTGTTTAGTCTACCAATTATTTAGGTAATGTTGTTTATGTTTTCATTAGGTGATCACGATGAACGGTGTGTATGTGTCGGAGATTGCCCTGCCCTGGTATTTTGAGGCTACAGACATGCCCGGAGGCTTCAGAGACGTGGCGCTGTTGTCATCTGGAAAGTACGCTTTGACAGACCACGCCAATCACAGAATCGTCATTTTGTAATGCAATGCAATGCAGTCAGTCAAACTTTCTACATGGATTACCCACCAGCAGAATTGAGTAAACTTAAATTGTCCAAATAATTATTAACAAGTGGTATTACTGTTAGTTCTAATTTTAGAGTGATATTTAGTTTGATGCTAAGCTTATTATCTATGGGCTCTGAATTGCGATTTAATTCAAAATCTGCAATTTCTGCACCATTTTGCTAGCTTCTATTTTGGCAAACTGCTATTTCTGACGACCATATATTGATGTACTATGGATTTACTTTGATATCTTCTGGTTAAGCTGATAAGCTCGGGTACTGTACGTCCGTGCTCAAACAAATCGTGAAACCTCGTCCTCTAAACTTAAATATCAAAGTTCTTAATATATTGTGCGTTCAATGTTTTTTTTAAAAAAATGATTCATGGCTTTTAATCAACTTTCAATGTAATGAAATCTGGATTTAAACTTCCGCTTCTTTCTTAAAACAATCTTGAACTAATTTTTCAGTTCATCCGCAAAAAGAAAGAAGTTGAATCGTGAAGGTGCTAACTGGGTTTTAGCCAGAAAGAAAATTTTTTATTGAAACGTTGTTTTGCATAGAGATCGAAAAGTATACTGCAAGTTCCAAACTCATATATTCTGCCGTTGATACGTATCAGTCAGCAGCTATTAATAGAAAGTGATGGTGGATCAATTAGAATAAAAAATAAACAATAAAAGCCGGTTAATATGAACGTAGCTCACAACATGTCGGACACTGTAATCACGGCGACAAATCCAAAGCTGATTTTTTAAAGTTTATTTTTGAGAGAATAAAATTTAGCCTCGAAAGTCTGAAAAATTGACCAAAGTGCTTCCTCAAAGCAAAATCTGATGTTATACTATGTTTTATTACGAGTTCATTATTGTTAGATAGCATAAAATCAGCGCTGCTGAGGGTTTTTATTCCGGCCATTATAATTAATCCGACTTGAGAGACACGGAATGTTTGTTAGTTTTTTCTTGGCACACAATTTTTACACATGAGTGGTTAGTGTGTGAGACTCTTAATCTCCATTTCGCAGGTTCGCATCTCAGAGGTAGCTGAATATTTGCTAATTGGGAGCTTACTTCTGTCAAGATTTTTGCAGCGACAAACGGTTGATTAATAAGGAGTGAATTAATGAGATTTGAGTGATAATTCCAGTAGCAAATCAGATCAAATATATATGGTAAATCACCCGCACAAAGTTGCTCGAACCAATGACTAAAGGTCATGTTTCACCAGCTAATTTTAACAAAAATCGGGAAGTGATCTTTCAGTTTGAACTGAATAAGAAAGATCGGCTCTTTTCCACTTTCCCCCCCCCCCCCACCTTTTAAAAATATCGATTTTTATGTTTGTTTTACGTGTTATTACGGCTAAATGCGTGACGTTACGCTGTAAAGTATGAAGAACAAATCTGTTCATAATTGTCAATTTGTTCACCATGCCAATTTTCATTGCATTATGACAACGTTAAATAAGGTTTCAAAAATGAATTTGAAGGGGGGGGGAACTGGAAAAGAGCCGAAAGATCAATTCCAGTTCAGTTAGGAAAAATCACCAATACCCCGCCTTTCAAATTAGGTGGTTCCTAGTAGAATGTCTCGGAAAAATGCAGTTTTGCACTTTCCCAAGTTTTTCGGCAATGCGTCTGCAGGCATGTTTGCTGTTGGTAAAAAGGTTAATGTCACCTTCTTCTGTTCAACTAACTCTCGAAGGAAGTGTAGTTTTATGGCAAAATGCTTCGTCTTGCCGTGGTTCATTGAGTGTTTACTAAGGGCAATACAAGCTTGGTTTATCAACGAAAACTTCTAAAAGCCTATTACAAATTATGCCTAAGTCGCTAAGTATGCCCTGTAAATGAACTCCTTCCTTTACTGTTTCGACCACAGCATTGTGTTCTGCTTCGGCTGTTGAAGTTGATACACAACGCTGAAGTCTGCTAGACCAACTGATTACACCTGAGTTGTCACTGAGTTCAAAACAATATCCTGAGGTACTTCTCCTATTGTCTATATTTCCAGCCCAGTCCGCATCCGAATAGCTAACAAGATTCAAGGCTTATACCTCCTGTATACTAAAGGTAAACTTTTTGTTCCTAACAGATATCTAAGACAATTTTTTCCGGCTTTCCAATGCTTTTCACCTGGATTTTCCACAAAAGAACTTAGAAGATTTGCTGCAAAGCAAATGTCGGTTCTACTTGATAAAGCTAGGTAATTTAGACTACCAACAAGTCCTCGATAGTCATATTTTTTCATATTTTCTTGTTCTATGCTACCTTCTAAAGGACAATCTTCTTTTGTTAATTTTTCGTTTTCACCAATAGGGGTCGTTATTGGCTTTGCTTCGGTCATCCTAAACCTTGATATCAATTTTTCAACACATTTCTCCTGGCTTATCCTAATTTCGTTTCCTGAGTAATCAATTTTCATTCCTAAAAACCATTTAAGATCACTTATCTCGCTTATCTCAAATTTTTCAGAGATATTGCTTTCAAACCAGCTACAGAAATTTTTGTCTGCTCCACAAACCACTATATCATCGACCCACAAGCAAATTAAACCTTCTATCTCTCCCTCAATCCTTCTAACAAACAAGCACTCATCAAAAACTGAATTTTCAAAACCTAATTCCTCAAGATAGCTTTTAGAGTCCTATGCCAGTTTCTACCGGACTGCTTCAGTCCATAAAAACTTTTCTTCAGAAGACAAACTAAAGGTTTTCCTTCTTCATCAAACTTCTCGAACCCTTCAGGTTGCTTCATAAAAATTTCTTCATCTAGTTTGGCATTCAAGTATGCAGTTTTAATGTCTAACTGTCTCAACTGATACCTATTTTGAACTGTTAAGCTCAGGACTATTCTTATGGTCGACATCTTGGCTGTAGGCGAATACGTTTCGTGAAAATCCCTTCCCTCAACTTGGCTAAAACCTTTAGCAACAAACCTAGCCTTAAACCTGGAAATTTCACCATTAGGTCCGTACTTCAAAGCAAAATGCCATCTGCTGCTTATAGGCTTCTCTCCTCTATTTCTAACTAGTTCCCAAACTTTGTTTTTCTCTAATGAATCAAACTCTTGTTTCATTGCTTCTTGCCAGTCAGGGTCTGCTAAAGCTTCCTTAGCACTTTTAGGTATATTTTCGAGAACTTCTCCGAAAATACTACATCACCGACTCTTTCGCCTTCGTCACTTTCTATCTTTTTCTCAAATTAGAACTTAGATTCGTCAAAACTAACGTTTCTAGACTTTTGCACTTTGAGTTTTCCTTCACTCTCAATTCCTATCAGATAAGCTTTCCTATTTTCCGATGTCCCCAGAAAAATTCCCCTTCTGAGTTGTTGTCTAGTTTTTTGCGAAACTGTTTTTCCACAAAACTATACGCTACACACCCAAAAGTTTTCACAAAATTAAGGTTGGGTTTTTCTCCATACATTGACTCGTAGGGTGTTTTGCCTATAGCAGAATGAAAGCACATATTTTTGAGATTAGCAGCCATATTAAGAGCATAAGGCCAATAAGTTTTCGATAAATTCGCATCAAAAATCATGCAGCGAGCCATTGGAGTAATTGTTCCCCACAACCTTTCTATCTTTCCGTTCTCTTGAGGGGTATATGGTTCCAGTCTTAATTTTTTTTCCTACAAACTCGCCTAAAATCTTGACCAATGTACTCTCCTGCGCCGTCTGAAACTAAAGTCTGAGGGACTCTTGTCTGCAATGAATCTTTCCAACTTTTCTGTTGCCACATCTCTCGTCTTCATGAAATAAATTTTCAGATATCTAGAAAAACTGTCCACAAAACCTATAGCATATCTATGTCCATCCTCTGCTAGCGGGTCGATAGGCCCTAAAATATCTGTGTGAACAAAATCTAGTGTCCTGGTTGCCCTGGTATAAGAATCTTTCGGGACTGGCTTCTTTTTTGCTTTATTAAACTCACAAGTTTCACAATTCTCAATTTTAAAATCACTAATCTTCATGCCTTCAACATGTTGCTCCAAATGACTTAAATCTTTGTAGTTATTATGACCCATCCTGCAATGCCACTGTTTCAATGTGCTTACTACATAATACTCGTCGTTTCCTACAAAAGTGTCCCATAAAAAGAGAACACTTTCCTCTCTTAATGGGTAAACTGATCCATTTCCCTGGCGAACTAGCCAGCTCGCACCAAAAACAACTTCTGCTCCTGCTTTCTTCATTTTTGATACACTGAGCAATTTTCTTGAGTTTTCAGGAACGTACAAAGTATCCTTCAGCTCAATCATCTTAAACTCGCCTTTCTCATCTTTCACTCTGAATCTAGCTTCAGCTTTCCGTAAAACTTTTGATTCAGAGAAATTTGCATTGCTAACCGATCCTTTGAAGTTCTCATCTAAACTAACAAACATGTCTCGATCCTTAATCATATTACTGGTAGCTCCAGAGTCTACAGCTAAGTCCTCGCCCGGAGGCACTCCACTCAGGAAACTAAAAGGAGCCTCTGTTTCAGCTACTAGGTTCTGCTGTTCTCGTTTAGTCTTACTAATGAACTTTTTCTTTGCTTGGCAATATTTTGCAATATGTCCAAACTCCTTGCACTCATAGCACTGAATTTTTCGAGCACTATCTTCACTATCTCGTCTGCTGCTTAAGTTTTCTCTGCACTGTTTCGACACATGTCCTCTTTTATGACACTTTAAACAAACTCTGTGCTCGCTATTAAAAGCATGCTCTTTTTCGATTACTTGTCTCTCGCTATCAAAATTCACTAAATCTCTTTTCAACTCATCTCAACTTTCCTCATCTCTACTAAACTTAGCTATAGTAGAAAAATTTTCAAATTGTTTTGGAAGTACTTTCAATATAATTGAAATTAACATTTTTTCACTCACTCCTTCGTTCACTTGTTCTAAGTTATACTGAATCTCCTCTGCTCTAGTCAAATAATCTATCACTGTTTCATTGCTATTCTTTTTCAAAGTTGTAAGTTCGGAGATGAGTTTTTGCAGCCTGGATCTTTCAAAACTCTTAAACCTTTTCCGTAAAACACCCCAAGTTTTGCTACCATTGCCTTTATAAGGTCTTAAAAACAAAACTGATTTCTTATCTAGAGCCTGCACAAGTTCGTACCAGATATGCAACTGTTTTTCTTCAAAAATCTATTTTCCTTTATCTATCGCAGCTTGTTTTTGATCACTGCTTGCATTCGGTCTTAAACTTGGCATAAAATTACTATAATCAACTGTCTCATCTAAAATCTTGTTTAACTTCAAGTAAAAAATTCGTGCCTCGAATTGCTCTTCAAAGTAGGAAAAATCTTTTTTTCCCGAAAAAACTATCCTATCAGTTTTCGACATTTCTTTCCTAATCCAAGTTCTTTTTTTCGACTGAATTCTCGCACAAAAAAATTAAGCTCCAATCTAAAACTCAAAAAATTAAGTATTGCCCTAGGTAAAGTTCAATGACCCCGTTTTGTCGTACATCAAAATCATATTCTATAATATACATCAATATCGCCCCCTTATATAACTATGGAAGTATATTTGATTACCTAAATCCGATTTGGAACCTA